CATTTCAGATACAAGATAGTTTGCAAATATGCCGTACAGAAGAATTCAAGATTTATAAGTTCTACCTAAAAGCTTGCTGGACCTTAATTTACTAGAGGGAACGCTTGCTGTATTTACTACTTTCTATAAGTCGATGCAGTTTCCTGAACACAAGAGGATTATATGTGTTGTGAACTACATTCCTCAGTTTGTGTCTTGTTTCCAACAGCCAAATTATAAAGTTGTTTAACAGAGGTCTAATAGACCCTGGCATATGATTTGGTCTCTCTTCCTTCTTTGATCTCAATCAGGAGCATCTGTAAGTGCTTGGTTTTGAGCCATTGGTCATTGCGCACAAAAGGTTCTCACAGTGGTAAGCCTTGTTTGATTGAACAAAGCATTTGTGCCTGTTGCCTGTGTGCTTTTCATGAAAACAAATAGCTGGATGAACTGCACTTATGAGTGAAATGGACTTGGGGATTAATTAATATTTAAAAAACACATCTTGTAAGAACATACAACCGTAAATATTGGGGGAAGATGTTTATAGATGTATAAATTAAATAAGTAATGTTAGTAGAGGCTATTACATTTGCAACTGGCCAGATGCCCACTAAATCCAACACAACTCACACAGCCCTGATTTTAACTGTTGTCTGGTATAATATTGATACTGAACACTACCCCAAACAATTGTAATTCCAGCTGCAAATGTAGTGTTAGAGTTTACAACTGACCTGTAAATATATGTAAACAACATGTTAACAGTTCCCACAGTGATGGGATATTGCAAACCTGGCATCTTGCACAAAGTTTACATGTCTATTCAGAAAACAAAGGCTATATTCTGTTCTAATTTACATCTCCTGCACTTCCACTGAAGTCAAGGAGGCTGCATGGACTAGCTGGGTGAAATCCTGGCCCCACTGAAGTCAATGGCAAAATTCCCATTGACTTCAGTAGGGCCAGGATTGAACTCCCAATTTGTACCTATCTTGTGTAGCCTTGTTTTCCCATGTATAGCAACCAAGACGGATAGTGTGGTCCAAGCAGCCACATGTTCTGACAAGAGTCAAAGCTTTTGCTGGTGGAGCAATTTTAGTTGCAATTTGCAAAACTGGAAACGTTTGAATTAAAAATAAGAGAAAGGTGCACGATTTTCTGTGATCCTCAGGTAAAACAGAGGGAGCTACTGCAGTACTTTATTACAGACAAGCTATTTGTTATGCATTAGAATACTATAGCTGGTATGGAAAGAGCAAGGCTTGCATCTCACATAGCCCAGGCACTACAGATACAGGTTACAGAGAATAGCCAGCAATGCCAAAATTAGAGTATGCCTGGTCCGACGCAAACACCGCAAGACTAAAGATGGACTAAAACGGGTTTCCATTCTGAAACCATCTTCATGGTCTGTGGAGGTCATATTAACATCCCCAGATCCAACCCTACCCCTACAGTTTTGGATTCAGGTTGGATCTAAAATCAAAAGTTGCCTGAGCCTCTGTTCTGGCTCCGATGCAGCTGAAATCTCAGAACAGCAGCCTCTCTGATGAGATATTAAAGCAAAATGGAGGAAGTCTCTGGAGAGAACTCCAGTTTTAAGATGAGCTGTCAATGGTTGTCTCTTACCTTGTGCAATTTCTTTTATTTTGGGCTAAAGATGTCACAACCCCATCTGATGTGATTTCAATGCAGAGCAGTAGGCCTGTTTCAACCTCAGATCCAATCCCTGCACCTTATCCTTAAACACAATCCAGAGTTAAAAAACAGTCTCTCACAAATTGGCCCATCTCAACTCAAAATATTAGCACTGATAATTGATCTGCTCTGAAAGGAGAACTAACATAAAACAGATTCAAAACAATAACAGTTGATTTCATATATGTATTTATTAATTTCACTGTAGTATTCTTCCTGGCTGCTTTCCATTGCCTTCAAATACACAAGCATAGCACTGCCATTGGATAACTGACAGGATGCAAACCATTTGTTTCCTAATTAAAAGGACAGTATGTCCATGTAGAAAAAAAAAATAAAATGTGTTTTTGTTCATCCCTCTTAGGAGCCAACATTATACTCCAGCTAGTCTAGCTGATAAGAAACGCAATTAAGTTTTTGACTTTTTTCTCTGAGCATAGAGATAAGCTAAATCAAAGCAAGCTGGTTTTCTGCTAGGATTTACACCACCACGTGGGTGGAGTTCCTTATTTAGATGCTTAAATATGGACTTGGGCCCCACTTACACACTGTAAATAGTTCCACTGACTTCTACTAGAGTAGTAGAGTAGCAAATACTTTTTCACTGGCATGGACTGTTCTCATTTGTTGTACTTCTGTAATTGCACCAGGCGACAGGATCATTCATTATACACATAACACCTTAAATAAAACATACTTCATAATGTGTGAAAGATTCCCATTTGGAGTTTGCTAGCTCCTGGAACTCTGGACCACAAGTGCCGGCTTCCAATTTTCCCTGGGGGTGTTCAATCCCTGCTCAGCCTCAGGCCTCGCCCACATTCCACCCCTTCCCCCAAGCCCTCACCCCCCACCTCTTCCCACCACACTCTGCCCCTGGCCCCTCCCCCACTCCACCCTTCCTCCAAGGCCCCACCCCACCTCTTCCCACCCCCTCACCTGAGAGTGCCCCATCCCCACTCCTACCCTCCCTCCCAGCACCTCCGGCATGCCATGGTACAGCTGATCCATGGCAGGCGGGAGGCACTGGGAAGGAGGGGGAGGAACTGATCGGCAGGGCTGCTGGTGGGCAGGAGGCGCTGGGGGTAGCGAGAGTGGGAGTGGGGGAGCTTGGCTGCCAGTGGGTGCTAAACACCTGTTAATTTTTTTCCCTGGGTGCTCTGGGGCTGGAGCACCCACAGAGTCAGCGCCTATGCTCTGGACTGAGCCTTGAGGGGGGGTGTGGCAGGGCCCATTCGCTCCTGCTTCTGCTCAAGTCCACAGACAGCTCAGATACCTTCATGCTGGTAAAACACCTGGTGTAGTTTATTTACAGTGTTGGTTCTCACTACCCTTGCACACTATACAGCCTTACTCCTATTGTTTTAGGGAGCCCCCGGCTCCTGAGGGAAGAGCAATCACAACCTCGCTCTATCCACTTCCTCACTTCCTTCCTGTGCCTTTTGTATCCTCCGCCTAATGCCTTAATTAGCCTCCCAGCTCTCCTCCAGCCCTCAGTTAGGCACAGCTCTTCTTAACAAGGTCTGTTCTGCAGTGACCAGAGGGCTAGCTGAGCTGTTGATGTCCAGCACTCTGTCACAGCGGGACTATAACAATAATGGCTACCAGAGCCCACTTTCACACTGCTTCCCAGTATGCTTGGAGTCAGTGGTGGGGATGAATGGACTAGAAACCCCTGCTGAGGCCTGTAGAGAGGCTTCTGCATGGGGTGATAAGGACAGGCAGTTTGCTGGGCCACTGATGAGCCTGGGCTGGGCTTAGCCCCTCAGAGGGAGGGGACAGCCTGACTCGGAGACAAAAAGACTTAGTTTAGTTTTGAGTGAGGGAGCTGACAGGGAAGCAGAACAGCTTAGGGACTCTCTGATTAACTCTCCCCCTGCCAAGGGAGGCTTTGAACTGCTGGGGGAATCCAGTGCATGGGTCAGAGGAAGCTCCAGCCTTGTAGAGGCCAGTGCCCAGGGAGGCAGAGACTCAATCTGGGGCTGGCTACTAAGAGATAAACAAGACCCCCCACAGGACAGGATCTGTGAAGACACTTTAAGAGGACTCCGTTTTGTTTAAGCTGGCCAACATTCACAGCACTTGTCTCTGGATTCATGTGTAGTGTACCACCTGCCTGGGAAGGTACATGGGAGGGAGCTGGCAGTTGGTATAAATTGTAAGTGTTGGGACGTGGAAAATGTGTTGATGCATTAATACTTATTAGTTATTAGTTAACTTATTAGTTAACCCTAACCCTTTCCTTCCCCAAATCCTATTTTCCTGCTCCCAGTAAAGTCCCCCTTTGTTATATAGTTATAATTTGGTTGTCACTTCTTTGTGTTGATGCATTTTATTATTTCTTGTGTATTAGGTTTCATACTCCTTGTCAGCAGTGGTATTAGTCATTTTTCAAAGGGACTGCGCCCCCTGTGTCTAGGGTGGAAACACCAGGCATCACAGGAAAGAAACCCAGGACCCAATCTTTGTGAGGAGAAGGGAGAAGCCACTTCAAGTAGCAAGTACCAAGGAGGAGGCTTGAGCCACATCTGGGGGGGATGACCTACATTAGTACGTTTGGGGACAGGATGTGGGAAGCTGATATGCTGTTCTGCATACTTCATGCTTGAAGGGCTAAAATCCGTATGCTGTTTGTCGGGTTTTGACATGTTTATACTCCAAATATTCTCAAGGGCTGATTATTGCCTCTCCTTTTGATGCCATGGGATTTTACTCACCCTGGCTGCTGACCTTGTTGGGAATGTACATCTTCCCCCTTATTTCTGTGGTCTCAATCTCCACAAATGTCAGCCTTAATGGGGATTTATGTTTCCCCCCTTTTGAATACTGTGGTCTAAATCTCCACACTGCCAGCTTTGATGGGGATGTACATCTCCCCCGCTTTGAATACCGCGGTTAAGTTACACACAATTGCCAGCCTTATTGGAGACTTGTGCTATTCGAAGGCATGTACGTCACATGCCTGGGGGGCGGGGTGCTCCCCTAGGGCTTGCAATGTTACGTGCAATGAGGAAATGGGACCACCAGTTTGCACTGCCTACCACTCGCATACCCAGCCAGTCCTGGGCTTAACTCATGGCCAATCGCTTGCTGGTGGTTTATTCAAATCCTCCATAACACACCCCTTAGTTTAAACAGTACATAACCCTCTTGCACATGTCTTCCCTCCCAACTGGTACCCTTACTAACCCCTCTGCTTATACTACACGTGTCTAGGTTCCTTTGCACTTAAATTTAAAAAGTGGGAACAAGATGTGTCTGAATGGGGATGAGAAACTTCTATCCCTGGCGTAATGAGTTGGTAAATTAAACATACTCACCTCCTTTTGGATTTCAGTCTCAGTTCCTCAATCAGTTCACAAGCGTGTATCCCGGACGAGCCCCCATCTGAAGGAACAAATATGGACACCGTGTAGAATCAAGCATGTGGGTTTATTACGTACAGCACTGATGGAGTGTCACCTCGCTTATTAGGCTCAGAGACACTGCCAAACAATTGATTACAATGGATTATATGGATTTTCCATGGGTGGAGGGAAATGACGGGGTAGGCAGTCCCACACCCCTGGGTAGGTCTAGCAGCAAGACAAGATAAGCACAGTAGCCAATGGTCAAAAGGTTACATAATGTCTCTGCCCATGGTTTCAGGTTAACACATGACACTTAATTAGTACACAGGTGTTTTCCATTAAACAATATATAGAGTGTGTTAGTATAAAATATATATGTTGAATTCTGATTTGGGATCCATAGGAATGAAGTAGCTTCCCTGATTGTCCGACAGGTACACACCTAGGAGTTAAAGCAAAAGAACAAATGAAAAGTATATAGCAATAAAGATTGTCTTTTAATTGTTCATTTGTGTTTCTAAGGCAGGCACTGGCAATGGCTTGGAGGAGAGGTGCACATCTGTGAGAGGGAGGATATCATATCTCATACTGATATATTTGAACCTCTTCCATAAACTCAAGGCTGGTGTGTAAGAAGGCACCTCTTCTACAGAAGAAACAGGGCCCCTTTCATTCCTTTGGTCTGTTTGCAACTTTGAGATAAAGCCTGCAATTATAATTTCCACTTGGCTTCTTGTTGACCAAGCTTATCTTAGCAAAAAGCAAGGTTGTCCTTTGTTTGTTCTGCTTCTTAGCTAATATTGTTCACTATTTGCTAGGCCTCCGTCTTCTTGACCAAACTCTGGATTTTGGGCCTGTAAAAAGAGCTGACACAGTCTATATTTCAGGTTGTAACATAAATAGCATATGGATTTTAGCCCTTCAATGCTCTAAAAAAGGTTCCTTCACCAAATCATTGGCAAATGATGCACTTAAATGTCTGTCTTGCCCAGTGGGACTAATTTTTGAATGTCTTTAAGTCTCATCATGTGTTGTTTGTCATAAAGATGTGAAAATGAAAGAAACTGCAAACAAGCTGTGAAACATCATAGTTTATATGAGGGAGAAGCTCCAATCTCTCATTCAGCACACCTCTTTTATGCACATACCTGCTTCAATGAGATGGCTTCCCATCTGCTTTTTAGGTCAACAGTACTATGAAGTGAGTGATAGACTGTAGCACAGTATCTGACTTGTATGCTGATTACGATACTGAACCCATTTTGCACTTTGCTGGCTATCTAGGGGCATGATTATTTGAATGTAATGAGGCAGGAGCATTAAGTGGAGCTTCCTTTTATCAAGAGACGGACTATGTTACCAAAACCAACAACCATCCTTCCATAAATATTTTCATTTTAGCTGAGTGAAGTCATCTAAAAGGGTACTGCCTAACTCACATTATCAAATGTCAAGGAATTACAAGCTAGGCTGAAAGTTGCTGCCCATCCATGATGGAGTCCTAAGCTAATATTTTTCTTCATACACATTGGGTTAGAAGTTCTTGTCTGCTAAATGAAATAACACTGAAGTTTTCTGTGTGATATCATTTGCACTTGACACAACAGAGTAATATGTAGAAACCACATAAGTACAATGATGTCCAAATTATTGTGTTTTCTCCTATGTACACAGACACACAATTTCTCTGGGAGGCTTCTAAATCATGGAATGCAGTGAGCGCCACTAGTGGGCTCACAAACTATTTAAAGTGATACTACCCTATTTCTGTATGCTGCAGCTTAGAAGGGCTCAATTCCTTAAAATGTTGAGTGTCTTTCATTTCCCATTGAAGTCCATAGGTGGTGAGGACACTCAGAGCCTCACAGGACTCATATCACAAGATTTTTGTAGGTTCAGTCTAAGAGTCAAATGCTGATAAAGCTGTTAGGAACTCTTGTGAATCCCTTTTGGAACTGAGGCATGGAAAGCATAGGGGTATATCACTATGACAAGGTCCCTGGGGTACAACCTGGACAGTGGGACCGCTGAGCCTCTGTCCCATCAACCTGGGCTACCTCTCAGACTGTGAGGCTGATGTCAAGCTACAGACCTCTGACAGACACTGCACTGCACATCCACAGGCAGGGACACACCCAACTGTGTTATATGAATGGTCTCTAGCCACTCATGAACTGTCAATAGAGAGACTCCAGCCTATTTCCCCCATCTTGCACCCCAGAACTGTACCATCTTGCACTAGTCAGAAGCCTGGCCAGTGTAAGCTCATTACTTAGTTTGCCCCTGCTTCATAGGAAAGTGGACATGCACCAGCCTTTGTAAGCTGAGCTGAGATTTCCCAAGCACTTCAACCAAAGCACACCATTAGGATTAAAATATTAAAATAAGTTTATTAACTATGGAAAGATAGATTTTTAAGTGATTATAAGTGGTGGGCGTAAAGGTCAGAGATAGTTACCTTAAGAAAATAAAAAGTAAACATGCATTCTAAATCCTAAACTTTTATACTAAGCAAGAGTCAAATTGAACAGCTTTTCTCACCCCCAACAGATGGTACAAACAGCTTACGGTTCTTCAGTACACAGACTGGACCCCTTTCTAGCCTGGGACCAAACTCCCCAGTTCAGAGCCTTTTTCTTCCAGCCAGTTTTCCAGGTGGTGAGATGCGGGGGAGAGGCCCTGGCCTTACATTGCAGTATAGACATACCCAAAGTGAGTTGACTGAAGTCCCACAGCAAGTCTGGCAGAGCCAGGAATAGAACCCAAGTTTCCTGAGTCCTAGTCCAGTGGCCTCCAAACAAGATTTTTTGCCTCCTCATCTTGAACCCTATACTCTGCCAAAATGGTGTACTGTACTGTAGCTCAGTCTTCTTGTCCCATAAGTGACTTTGCACCTTTCCCCACACCAGCCCTGTGCCTGGAATACCCTTTCTCTTTGGGTGTGCCATGCCGTTCAGTGCGAGTCTCCATTTTGGTCCTGCACACCACAGTTCCTGCCCTCTTGACTAACAGGTTTGGTCCTTCAGTGTGTAGCAGTCATAAAGCACCTTATTAAAACTTGAAAATGACCCAACATTTGTACAGTACATAAGTATCTCTTTGATCTGTTACTGTTATAACCCAGGCAGAACAGAGAACTTGGGGAGACATAGTGGAACTGCACCGCTAGGGAGCTGAGGGATGGTAAGAACTGTTCAGCTAAGGAGCCATTTGCAGGGTAATAACTTTATTGAATGTACCCGACTCTTATTCGCTAGTAGACAGTGCTCTTTGTATGTCCTTACTAGCTACACACCCCCATACTTACACAATCTGCTTTTGAAATGCAGCTCTCATAACGGGAGAAGCCTTACCTGAGGCCATAGCCAATATGGAGGCACAAGGCATGTGTACAGATGCTTCCTGTAGCCCATAGGGGAGCCACCAAGTATGGAAATGGGCCCCATACCCTTGTGTAGAGGGTCAAACCTGCTCCTCTGGGTTGTGACAGACATGTGGTGGTGGTGCTGGTGTTGCTGGAGGGTGTTCTGTGAAGAGGGCCTCATTGGGATTTCCTCCCAGTGAGCCTCCTATTTTTAATGTGGGGGGACCATCTGACCTACTATTCATTCACCAAAAGTAAGGAAACCTCAACTGACTTATTTTCCCCGGAAAGATCTAGGGATTTGGGTTGTAAAAGCTCTGAAGGCAAAAGTTCAGGATACACATGGCTAGAAATATTTGGGCCTTATTTTTCGACAAATTTTTAATAAACCTAAAACAAATAAGTCCATTTGGAATTTTCTAAGAGGATTAAAAAATGTAAGCGGGGGGAATGAATCAGACTTTACCAATAATAAATCAGATTATACCTGTAACCAGTGCTCAGCTAAGGAGAGAAATATGAATGAATTCTTATATTTTGCATGAGGCCTGATTCAAAATCACTGAAATCAACAAGATCTTTCCGTTGATTTCAGTTGGTATCAGATCAGGCCAATAATTATTCCACCACTGTAACTTCTGGCATAGTCAAATCAGCATGATCATGAAAGAACAGGAGACAAGAGGTGCTCTGTGTTCTCGCTCTCTTTTCTCTTTCCAAAGTTTGATTTCATCCAACTCTCCATTTTTTCAACTGTTGCACCAGTTTCTTCTTGTTCAAGTGAAAACAGTTTTTATTTGAACTCCTTGGGAATGCTGTTCTTTCTGGACAAAACTTCTGGGCCAGTGACCCAGATGATTTTGAACACTCTCCGTAATCTTTTAGCATAAGGCACAGTTCAGTTATGTGCAGAAGCTCTTCAGACAAAAATCAGACAATACAGTTCTATTCCTTGTCATAGATAAGTGTAGAAACATGCCCCACATGAAGTTCATGAACTCTTGCTAATGTTTCTATCTAGGATCAACTAAGAGTAGAAACTAAACTGCATGAACTGTTTGTAATTAAACTGCATGCAACTTGCTTGGTCACAGTACAAACTCAAAATCTAACATTCACAATTTTAAACACGTATGTGCTCAGCTGACTCCAGGAATGGAACGGAATAGAAACAAGATTTCCAAAAGATGCTTTGAGCAATGTAGTTCTTACACCTGTATGCACCATGCTACTGGAATTTTGGGAAATTAAAATGTAAAATAAAACCAGCCTCAAAGCTATTTAAAAAAAGGGCATATATGCATTATAATTTGGCCAAATAAAAATGGATTTTCACTCGAGCTCCAAAAGGCACATGTCTGACTTAAGGCCTATCTTCTTGACAAATTTCAAGAATCTACTTCTGCCCACTCAGATGCTAGACCTGCTCAAAAACGGTCCCTAAGTGCTTTTATAGCAGTGAAAATGCCCTTTTTCCACTGCCCTGGTCCTCAAAAATTGTTGGCCTGGTTTTGCTCAGACATGTCCCAAAAATTCACTCTTTGTCAGAGAGCAGACCTACAAATTCTCATTCTGTAAGATGAAAGAGAAAATTATAAGCAACTGAAAAAGGCTCATTAGAATGGAAAAAGCTTAGAGAATCTTAACTAATCCAATGTCTTAAATTTGATTCAAATGAGCTTTGTATCAGGCCATATTGCAGGCATTGCAAGCTCCAGCTATAATAAATATTAATATTAAATATTTCATGTAA